TTCTGGCCATCTGGTACCAAGAGCTAGCCCTCGACCGAAGCCCTGTGTGGGAGATGTTCTCTGAGACCACATAGGTTCCAATGCCAGCTGGAACTCATGTCAGCAATAGGGCTTGAAAATCCGCGACGGAGTATTTCGTCACAACCACAACACCGCTTCCCCCCCCCCCCCCGGACGTCAACTTACGTTGGTAATATTGGTCTGCATTCGCATTAACCATCGTGGTCAGACACACGGATAACGGGGCCATGAAGCTTACACTGGTCATCCGATGAACTGTCGAGCATCCGGAAGATTTTCAAAATGTTGCTGTCGCTTTCATCGCCGTGGAACTTGTTGCCCGTCCCGTCGAAGCACAAGACCAGTTTCCTGGTCCTGTGCCAATTGTCGGCATTCTGACTGGCGTTGGTGGGATTCATCGGATCCATGGCCACGTTTGAGCTCTTGGCTTGCGTACCAGCTTGGCCCAGAATGTGCGCCATGCTCAGAGATGGATTGTAGGAGGACTGACGCTTAACAACTTTCGCAGCGAGCAGACTTATCTGCCGAAAGCTATCTCCCTCGCTTCCGCAGGTAGCGCCAGCTCTCAGTCGGCACGGCGGGCTTCCGCTCTTTGATATACCAGGGTTGTCGACCAGGACGCATGCTCCCCCAGAGACCAGGCCGCGGACGACGGGCTCGTGTACCAGGGACATCTGACCCCACTGCTGACATTTCGATACACCGGAACTGATCTGCGCGTGTGGCTGGCTGAGCTAGACACGATCTCGGCCCTCCCATGGACAGCACCGAGCCTTCACATCATTGGCAGGGACACCTTTCGTCAAGCATCACAGACATTTGACGTCGCCCTATTGCGCGGTATTCCAGTGCCCACCCCTTGTACCAGACGGGCGCGAGGCGTTTTCCGTTGACTTTGGGAATGCAGCAACGGCGCGTGTGCTACAACGTGCGAGAAAGGTGCTATGCCACGAGAGCCAGTCGCGTGAGACAATACCCATCAGCAACATGGACCCAACTCGCATTGATTGCCTGAAATTCGACTGACGACTCCAAATATGAACCCTGACAGGGCAAGCGGCACTCCTCTGGAGCACATCGTCCGTGCGTGATCGATGCTTGCCGGCGGGCCCCTACAGGGGAAAAGCAATAAGGTCTCACATGTCCCAGTCCCCGTCACGTTAGTCTCAATAGACATTGCCCTTGGGTTTCACAGTGCTTTTACTGGCTCAACGTGGCAGACGGATGCGTCGACGAGCAGCATATCGAGCGAAAGCAGAAGCATGCATGGCTCGTCGCCCTGTCGCTGAGGAAGCTCCGACGAGCACAGCGTCTGCACATCACATTTGCACTTCACATCCCCAAAAGCTTGTGATCACGTTGGTCCACCAGTTTTGTCATGACGCATCTCACGTTTGTCGGGCTTCGAGAAGTCGTCGGGCCCCATTGTCAACTTGGTTCTTGCATAACATAAGCGGTACTGTTCGGGTGTAGGCTCGAGATACAGACCCCACGACGCTCAATGTGTGGCTAACGTCACCAGATTTGCGGGCTTGCAGAAGCATCTCCTAGCCGTCCAGATGCGAACGTCCCGATCTACCAAGATCACCAAGGATCGCCCGGATCAGAGGAGCATCCCAGCACTCCAAAGCTAGCCTAGGCACACTGATCAAGCATCATTTTCCAGTCATTTACGTGCCACGCAAGCCACCATCACACGTAGCTGGTCGAAATGAGTAACTGCCGCTCCAGAGCTGAAGCATAGCTGCATGGATAGTTGAGGCGGGCCGCGCCGGAGCTCCAATAGCGTCTCCGTCTAGACTCGTCGACGACAGCCAATCGAGACAGGCGCGAGGAAGATCTGTGTCTTCGGCTATGTGCCAAGCGGCCAGCCGTTAGTTCAGAGGTCAAGCGCAAATTGCGCAACCCGGGTAGCACCCTTCACGTAGACAAGGTGTTTTACAAAGACGGCATTTTCTACTGGTCAAACAATCGGTCTAGTGTGTACCTCAAGGGTGGGATGGAGCAAAAAGCATGGGGGACTCTGAATGTCTCAGTCAGCTCGGCGAGTCGCTCCCTTCTCCCAGGTTGAGGGGTTCCAAGTACTGTGTACACAGCAGGTAGAGTGGTTCTCGAGATCATGTCTTGTGCATGGGCACCGATTATATTGGTATATATGGCCGGGCATAGGTGGCCGTGGTCGCTTGGGACCTTCGTCCCTTGTCCTCAGAGCCTGAAGCGTACCGACATCGGGTTCCGTACTTGGGAAGTTATTACACCTCCTTTCATTGCAAGCAAACACCTGTCATAATCAGCAAGGGCCTCCCAGTCCGTGGACTTGAAAGTAAACGAAAGTAAACAACGCTGTTGAATACGGCCAAGGTATGTCATTGCGTAACTGAAATGCCCTCAAACCTAATAAATGGATAGCCTCTTCCGCGCACGGTTTCGCCATGAAGAAAGACTCAAACGCGTCGCACGCTTCGAGCGGTTCGTCTACGCAGCCCGGACGCATAGACCCCGCTGTCAATGGCAATGTCCGCAATGCCGAGACGAAGGCCAAGCAAATTGGTGACGACGTCTGTGGTGGTCACGACGAGAAGAGTGGCAAGCTCGCTCAGTTCATGAAGTTGAGGAAAGCTTCCAAGCGACCGCTACCCAAAGATCATGGCGATGGTTCTTATGCTGTCGTCCCTGCACGCCCAGGTGTTGTCCAGAACCTCAAGGTTCTTCGGAAGCGAGGTACAGCGCATGGCTTCGATGACCTTGCACATCTGCTAACGTCGATATAGACATTCAGACACTGACAACGATGATCAAGGGTAAGCTCAAGGGCGAGAAGATCAAGGATGACAAAACCATGATCATGGAATATGTCATTCAAATGGTAGCAAAGTTGCCACACAACTCCGGCCTCCGCGAGAAGCTTACGAACACGCTCATCGAGGAGCTGTGGGACTCACTCGACCACCCGCCACTGCTGTTCGTCGGAGATGACTGGAAGTATCGCCGAGCAGACGGTTCGCACAACGTAGGTTCACTCACGTCTCCAAGTCTCAGCCAGACTGCTGAAGCATGAACAGAACCCACTCTACCCCTGGCTGGGAGCTGCCGGACAGACATATGCGCGATCTGTTGCGCCCAAGAAGCCAACCCTTGCCGCCCTGCCTGACCCTGGGCTAATTTTTGATTCCGTCTTTGCTCGTAATGAGTACACGAAGCACCCGAACAATGTGTCCTCGATTCTCTGGAACTGGGCAACCATCATCATTCACGGTACGTCTGCTCAGCTGACGCCTGGCGCTAAACCAACTGACATGATTAAGATCTTTTCTGGACCGATTTCCGTGACATTCACAAGTCCAAAACCTCGTCCTATCTCGATCTCTCGCCCCTCTACGGCAGCAATCAAGACATGCAGGACACGATCCGCACCTTCAAGGACGGTAAGCTCAAAGCTGACAGCTTTGCCGACAAGCGCCTCCTCGGCATGCCCCCTGCCGTCAGCGTACTTCTCATCATGTTCAACCGCTTCCATAACCATGTCGCCGAGAATTTGGCAGCTATCAACGAGGGCGGTCGCTTCACGCCGCCATCTCCTTTCCTCGAAGGCGAAGCGGCGGAGGCGGCGTCGAAGAAGTATGATAACGATCTCTTCCAGACGGCCAGACTCGTCACGTCAGGACTGTACATCAACATCACGCTCGTGGATTATGTCCGCAATATTGTCAACCTGAACCGCACTAACAGTACCTGGACGCTCGACCCGAGGCAGGAGTCTGGCATACAAGTTGACACAGCTGAGGGAGCTGAGTCGGGGACTGGCAATATGGTCTCAGCCGAGTTCAACCTCTGCTACCGATGGCACTCGTGCATCTCAGATAAGGATGACAAGTGGATTCAGCAGTTCTACGGCGAGATTCTTGGCGGCCACCAGGGTGAATTATCGCCCGCCGAGATGGGCAAGATCTTCATGCAATACGAGCGTACGTCTTTCCCCCGTAGCACGGATTCCAAAATTAACCTGACCAGGCTCGATCCCGGATGACCCTATTGAGAGGACTTTTGGCGGATACAAGAGGGGCGAGAACGGCAAGTTCAGTGATGACGATCTCGTCGATTGCGTCAGCGCGTCGGTTGAAGACCCTGCCGGTTCGTTCGGCGCACGTAATGTGCCCAAGGTTATGCGGCCAGTTGAAATCCTCGGCATGTTGCAAGCCAGAAAGTGGAACGTCGCCGGTGTAAGCTTTCCCCAGGCCCTCACATTTTGGTTCACTCACTAACGCCAGCAGCTCAACGAGTTCCGCAAGCATTTCGGCCTCAAGCCGTACGACAAGTTTGAGGATATAAACTCGGACCCCAAGGTTTCTGAGGCACTGCGTAACCTGTACCAGAAACCGGATAACGTCGAGCTGTACCCCGGTATCGTCGCCGAGGAGGCCAAGTCGCCCATGGTGCCGGGCGTTGGTATCGCCCCCACGTACACCATCTCGCGTGTCGTGCTTTCAGACGCCGTATGCCTCGTCCGTGGCGATAGATATTACACCACTGATTACAACCCGCGGTACCTGACCAACTGGGGTTTTAATGAGGCCAACTACGACCTCAAGGTTAATCACGGCTGCGTCTTCTACAAGCTATTCATCCGCGCGTTCCCGAACCACTTCAAGCACAACTCGGTCTACGCTCACTATCCCATGGTCATCCCCTCAGAAAATCACAAGATTCTGACGGACTTGGGCCGCGTCGACCTGTTCAACTTTGACCGGCCTGCGTTCACGCCACTGCGCGTCAACGTTACCTCCTACGGCGGAGCCCAGCACGTGCTGGAGAACAAGGCCGCGTACCGCGTCACATGGCACGAAGGTCTGGGAGCTCAGATGGATGAGGGCGGTCACAAGTTTATGCTCGCCGGCGACACCGACTTCCACGCCGGTCAGAAGCAGTGCATGGCGAGCCAACTGTACAAAACTGACTGGCACGCCGCCGTGCGCAAGTTCTACGCCGACATCACGGAGCAGCTCCTCCAAGAGAAGTCGTATACCCTCGGAAACATCCGCCGCCGTCACGTCGACCTTATCCGGGACGTTGGTAACATCACGCACGTCCACTTCGCGTCGCGCGTCTTCAACTTGCCCCTCAAGACAGCTGCCAACCCCAAGGGCGTCTACTCGGAGCAGGAGCTCTACCAGCTGCTGGCGGTCATCTTTGTTGGCATTTTCTTCGATTTGGACCCCGTCAAGTCGTTCCCGCTGCGACAGGCTGCGCGCGAGGCGTCGCAGACGCTCGGCAAGGTGATTGAGACGAACGTCAAGTTGGCGACAGACGCTCGGCATCCGCGGTCTCTTCACAGTGCAAGGCGGACAAGATCGATCCGCTTGCGGCGTACGGCACGAACCTCATCAAGGGACTCAAATCATCTGGTCTCAACGATTACGATATCGCGTGGAGTCAGATCCTCCCTACAGCGGGCGCCATGGTGCCCAACCAAGCACAAGTTGTAAGTTCCCTCGATGGCATGGATTTTCCTTTCCGTGGGACGTGGTACTAACATGCCCCAGTTTGCTCAGGCGGTTGACTACTATCTATCGCCGGCCGGTGCCGCGCACATCCCTCAGATCCATGTCATCGCCAAGCAGCCGCCCAATAAGGAGAACGACGCTCTCCTTCTCGGCTACGCCATGGAGGGTATCCGTCTCGCTGGCACTTTCGGCGCCTACCGCGAGGCCGCAGCCGACGACACGATCATCGAGGATGACGGACGCCGCGTCGAGGTCAAGAAGGGCGACCGTGTCTTTGTCAGCTTTGTCGGCGCCGCGCGCGATGCCGCCCACTTCCCGAACCCGGAGGTCGCGGACCCACGCCGTCCGCTCGGGGCGTACATCCACTACGGCCTCGGGCCACACGCGTGCCTCGGCCGCGAGGCGAGCCAGGTCGCGCTCACGGAGATGTTCAGGGGTCTCTTTCGTAGGCGCAACGTCAGGAGGGAGCCGGGCCCGCAGGGCGAGCTCAAGAAGGTGCCGAGGCCCGGTGGGTTCTTCGTCTACCTGAGGGAGGACTGGGGAGGCGTGTGGCCGTTCCCGTGTTCGATGAAGGTCATGTGGGACGAGGACGAGGTCGCCAACGGGGCCACGAATGGTCAAGAGGGGGCCACCTACGAGCCGAAGGACAAGGCGACGGCGTAGGGGGGAATGTGTATGGGGCGGTTGCTGGAGAGCAAATTGTATGTCTGTCGTATGATATCCTGGAAGATTGACACTTGATGCGCATTCAAAATTCGACGTTCTTGGTGCTCTTGTCTGTGTGAATGGTTGAATTGTCCGAGTGTTGTTCTGCCTCTTCGAGCGTGCCTGGTCTGTCCAGTTTGGTCCCCTTAATTAGGTCCCCATGGTTAAGTCCCCTTGAAAAAAACGGGCCAGGATCGTCACATTTGATACCTTGACGTCAAGGCGGAGACGTCTTCTGGCTGAGGATGAGCGCTTGTCAAAGATCAACGCAGAGGCTGAAGGTGGTGGATCTCGTCGATTACGATCTTCCAAGGTGGAAAGCTCACGTTCATCATTATCAAATTCGAAAGAATATCGAGATTGCATGGCTGAATTTGCAGGAGTCGTTTCTCATCTTGTTTGAGAGGAATGTCTGATATGAGTATGGTGTGTGTACCATTTTTCAGACTCTATTTCACTTTGAAGACCATCTGCTTTCGCTTGCACCTGAGATGGGCAGTTACTTGATATAGAACGAACAGTTGTCGGTGGAATCGAAACACGGACAAAATAACGGCGAGAACTGGACAAGCCAATGTTTTCGAACGAGGCAATATCTTACAAGCAAGCAGAATCCCTGGAAAGTTGCTCGTCATTCGAAAAAAGATTGGCTGCGGGTGGAATCGAACCACCGACCTCCCGGGGAAGAGAGAATGATCTAGGTTCTAGGTCTGCGGAAGCGGAAGTTTTCTAGGGGGGAGAAACCCGGGCGCTCTACCACTGAGCTACGCAGCCTTGTTGGGGGGGCTCCCGGCGCATTTTGTTCATGAAGGAATCGGAACGTCGCAGCAGGTCGGCGGAGAGGCCATCAGGGTGAAGCGCGTGACTGGTTGAGCCCATGAGGGTGCGGTTCGTTCTTGAATGTTCTAGCAATAGAAGCCAAAAATAAAACTTAAAAGAGAAAAGAAAAGGGGGGGGGAGAAAACGCTGGGTCCCGTCATGCCTTGTACACAAAATCCTCGAGCTCCTTGTAGGCCGTCTCGAGGTCCTCGTTGATGATGACCTTGTCGTGGACGCCCGTCTCGGCGTAGGCCAGCTCGACCTTGGCCTGGGTCAGGCGCTTCTGGATGCTCGCCTCGGACTCGGTGCCGCGGCCGCGCAGGCGGCGCTCGAGCTCGTCGGCCGAGGGGGGCGCGACGAAGACGTAGCGGGCGTCCATGTCGCTCTTCTGGACCTGCTTGACGCCCTCCATCTCAATATCGAGCACGACGACCTTGCCCTTGGCCGTCTGGTCGGCAATGGTCTTCTTCGAGGTGCCGTAGAGGTTGTCGCCGAACTGGGCGCTGCAGAGGCATGTCAGCTCGGGACGAGGATGGGGGGCACGGAGACAGAGGGGAGGGGAACGCACTGCTCGACGAAGCCATCGTGTGCGATCAGGTCACGGAAGGCGTCCTTCGTGACGTAGTGGTAGTCGACGCCGTCCTGCTCGCCGGCGCGGGGTCCGCGGGTCGTGTGCGAGACGGACAGGGTGAAGGTGTCGGGGTGACGCTGGAAGAGGAGCTTGAAGAGGGTGCCCTTGCCGACGCCCGAGGGGCCGGAGATGACGAGGGGCCGTCTGTCGGTAGGGAGTTCGGAGGCCATGGTGCTGCTAGGGAGAGCGAGGCGGCGAGGGGGAGCGCCGTGACGGGGGACGGGAGGTCGGATTGAGGGTCGAGGGAGGGCCGAGGTGACGCATCGCAGCATCCTAACAGAGGGAGGGGTCGGACGCCAGGTTGACGCTGGGGATTAGGATTTCTGTCGTGGGGGCTTGCCCAAATGTCGAGATCCACTGCCTAGCGTCGCGGGGCACATCCACGGCAGGCGTCACTGAGGACACGGACGGAAGGTGGGGTCGTTCGGCGGAACATCGGTCAGTAGAATGGTGCCTGCCTCCCAAGCCTCCCAGGCCTCCCTCTCTCTCTCTCTCTTTCGGGGGCTCCCTCTTTCAGGGGCAGGAACCACCTTGCTGACACATTCGTTGGCGCCTGCCTCTCTCTCTCTCTCTCTCTCTCTCTCACGGGCAGGCACCATCTGTGCTGACTCATTCATTGGTGCCTGGCCTTCTCTCTCTCCAAGGCAATTCCCCCCACCAAAATACGAGACTCAGCCTCTGCCCATCGCCACGCCAGAGCCAAAAATACTTCTCCCCACGAGCATGGCAAATGGATACTCGGCACCGCTACGAATCGTCGGAAACACCATCGACGCGCTATCATCTACTAACCTGTCCGCTCCCCTGAGGTCCTCATCACTGCAATCTGCAAACCGTTTTCTGCTGCGCCTCTCCTCTCGTGTCATTTCCGCTGCCGCGTGCTGACGCGGGCTGACGGCACCGCATCGTCTTTGATGATACCAAGACCAGGACCAAGACCAGGGGCCTCCACCCCCCCCTTGCGGTACCTCCCCGACCGGGACTGTTTCCAGCCCACCCCTGGCTGCGCCGCTCGTCCTTTTGCCATGGATTCTTTTGCCATGGATCAATCGAGTCGAAGCACTCGGACCAGTGTCAGAGGCGGATCATCGGATCGACAAGTGGCCCGCATGGCGTCCGCTGCCACAGTCCATCAATCTATCCATCGCCAAGACAATTACTAGTGTGTAAGGAAGGGGGGGAAATACGATCGTCTTTAGATTCTCCCAGGGCCATGACGAAAGAAACAAGAAGCAGCATCATCACACTCTGCGCTCGCACTCGGTCTTGCGATCTGGTCGCCAAGCAACCGTCACTGCAGAGAATGGGCATGAGGAATTTCGGCTGTCACACGCAGGTTGCAAGAAATGTCTGACCCGACCAACCCATTGGACGAGTCGAGGGCTGTCAATGCCATCCAAGGTGGTACCCCGAGGGATCGGGCTGCCAGGGGACGCCAGGGCGAAAGCCTACTTCGGGACTCGGCCAAGCGCTCGATCTCGTTGGTCGCCACCTCAGACACTCGTGTCAAGCGGCGGGGTGTATGCGCGTCCCAGGGGGGGGGGGCGTCTGCTGAGTTCTGGGTTGGGGTGTCCGACGCAAAGCTGTGCCGCTGGTGAACAGTTGATTTCCCCTGTGGGAACGTCTGGGCGCCCTAAACAGCGAACGCCGTGCGTGTGAAGGCGTAGTTCCCGTGTTTATCATGAGACTTCCCCCCCGGTCCTCCCTGCCCACCCCCTCCCTCCCTCTATCACTTCAATCATCCCTCCTCCTTGAGCACGGCGACGAATACGACGATAGTGACGCCGCTCCGATCGCTGCTGCGTACATCCTTCTTCTCCATTTAGTCCCTCACTCGCTTGGGGCCTACCATCTACCTGTCGACCCTCGGTTTCTCGGTTTCCATTCTACGTCCGGCTCCGTGTCCTGGATTCAAGACCAACAGCCTGCGCCTCCCACGCGGTACCTACCCATTCTATTCAGCAACATTTCTTTAGAAAAAAAATCGACAAGGAAAAAGCAACACAAATCACCATGAAGACCACGGCTGTCGCATGCGCCCTCGCCGGTCTCGCCATTGGCTCTGCTTCTGCTGAGAGCCCGACCCCGACCGAGCGCCAGGCTCCTCACCGCGCCCGCGCCGTCCCCGTTGTCACGGTTTCCGGTAATGGTATGTATGCTAGACGTTCTTCCTTCCTCTTTTCGCATGGCTGCAGGCTCGTCCAGCGGCATGGCAATGCGCTCCATCAAGACAGAGGCTAACCCGCGCCAGCTTTCTGGGCCAACGGTGAGCGCTTCATCATTCGCGGAATTGACTACCAGCCCGGTAGCTCCGGCAAGAACGATGATCCCATCGCCAACGTCAACACGTGCAAGCGCGATATCACCGAGTTCAAGCGCCTCGGCATCAACGCTGTCCGCATTTACAGTCTGGACAACTCGGCAAACCACGATGAGTGCATGGGCCTGCTCGCCGACGCCGGCATCTACCTGATGGCCGATCTCAACAGCCCCAAGTACTCCATCAACCGTGACGACCCCGGACCCAGCTACAACGCCGCGTACCTGCAGTCCGTCTTTGCTACCGTCGAGGAGTTCGCCAAGTACGACAACACGCTCCTCTTCTTCTCCGGCAACGAGGTCATCTACACGCTCAACACGACCACCTCGGCAGAGTACGTCAAGGCGACGACGAGGGATGTCAAGAACTACATGCGGGCCCGCGGTCTGCGCCAGATTCCCGTCGGCTACTCGGCCGCCGACATCTCGGCCAACGTCTGGCAGGCGGCTGACTACTTCAACTGCGGCAGCGATGACGCCCGTAGCGATTTCTGGGCTTTCAACGACTACTCTTGGTGCAACACGGACTTTTTGACGTCGGGCTGGAACCAGAAGGTTCAGAACTTCACCGATTACGGCATTCCCGTCTTGTAAGTGACCTCGCCCGACGCGTGCGAGGGTTGTCGGTGGCATCAGCACTAACATGGCGTAGCCTGTCCGAGTACGGCTGCAACACCAACGGTGAGCGCAAGTTCAACGAGATCGAGTCCCTGATGCACCCCAACACGACGGGCGTCTACTCAGGCGGCCTCATGTTCGAGTACACCATGGAGGAGAACAACTTTGGCATCATCGAGGTCAAGAACGGCAAGGTCGAGGAGCTTCCCGAGTTTGGGAACTTTGCCTCGGCCCTCAGCAAGTGGCCCATGCCCACGGCGGCCACGGCCCTGCACTCGACGACCCACGGCGTCGCCTGCCCGACATCGGCCTCCCTGTGGGAGGTGAACGAGAGCCTGCTGCCCAAGATGCCTCAAGAGGCCGAAAAGGTACGTCAAGAGCTCTCATGCATGACGCATTCGCTGACTCAATTTTCCACAGTACATGGATGACGGTGCCGGCACAGGTCCCGGCCTCGACGGCGATGGCTCTCAGTGGAACGTCGACAGCGGCACCGCCACGACGTCGGTCGCCAGCGGTACCCCCTCTCCCACCGGCCAGGGTTCCAGCAGTGGCGGCGGCGGCGGCAACAACGGTGGCAGCGGCAACGGCGAAAGCGCGGCCGCCGGCCTCGCTTCCCACGGCATGCTGTATGTCAGCTTTGCCGCCGCTGTGGGCACTATCATGGGTGTTATGTTCCTCTGAGACGAGAGTTGTGTCGTTGAGTGTAAGAGAAGCGCGGTGTGACGGGAGTTTCATTCATATTGTTTTCGTAGACGGTGGCCCCATTGTGTAAGCTGGGTGGGATGCAGCATTGTTAATAGGGATGTTTTGGAAAGGGTTCACTTCTGGCGTCCAAGTATACTGCCTGTTTTACGTATTTAGGTCCAATACTTGTCGTCTCGCTCGTACCAGAGGTAAAGTCTCGCTCGTGCCAGAGGTCAAGTGTGCGCTCTGCATTCGAAGAGAAGAAGATGCGCGTGGGCACCCCGACATCGCAGACTGAGTCACCGCGAGAGGCGCTCAACCCCGGGAACAGGCTGACTCGTGCAGCCGACGACAACCGGCGCTCAGTTCCGCACTCGACCTTGGCCTCCGCCATGCGCCCTTCCGGGCTCGGCATGTACACATGGCCGCCCTCATCGCCGTCAACTATATAACGTACCCGATGTTAGGTGCAGCATTTCATCAGCATGGCCAAAAAGCATGTATCGCCTCACCGCGCGAATACCCGCCCCTTCCTCTCTCCGTCTCGCAACGAGAACCCACGCAACGCGACCCATGCACATTTCCGCACCCCGTCCCCGTGACCAGCCCGTCCGAGCAAGCACCAGCACCACCAGCACCACCAGCACCATCACCACCAGCAGCAACATGGCGACAGCAGCGCCCCTCCCCTACCACAACAAGATCTTCACGTCGGCGTCCAACACGGCCAACGGCGAGGTCTCGTCGGCGACGCGCTTCCACTACCGCCAGGAGGGCAAGATCGTGTGGGCCGAGTACGGCGGCGGGTCCATCGTCAAGGGGTTCCTCATCGCGACGGTGGCGGACGACGAGAGCCTCGACATGCGATACGAGCACGTCAACGTCGGCGGGGCGCTCATGACGGGGCGGTGCCGCAGCGTGCCGGAGCGGCTGGCGGACGGGAGGCTGCGGATGCACGAGACGTGGAGGTGGACGTCGGGGGATGGGACGGCGGGGGAGAGCGTTGTGGAGGAGGTCAGGGAGTGATTGTTACGGTCGGCTCCCGAGGGGCTTGGTGACAGCCCTCACTTGGTCGTCGGTGCCTTGCTGGCAGCTGTCCAATTGAGCTAAATGGATACGTGCTGAATCAACGTGGGCTGCACTCATAGAGGTATAGGCCACAGGCCTATTCTACGTCACGGGTATAACCCGTAACAGTGATCTGTGACGTGGGATTGAATGCTGTGGTTTCGGAGGTCTTGTTGCGAAGTCGACTCTCTTTTCAAGGTCAAGGTTAAGAGGCAATATTCGGAGGCGTCTACAGACTGCTTTTGCTGTGGGTGAAGATGAATGTATCGGCTCTGGATTCGTAGTGCGACCTCACACTCTTGCTCGGTGACTGACCGGGCTCCGCTCCGGCGTCGGCCCCGCAACTGTAACTTCTGGCTCCGCCAGCCCTCTGTGCACTCTGGCTCCATCAGCCCTCTGTGCACTCTGACCACAACATCGACAGCCGCCACGCCCGACCAACACGGCACTGGCATCAAGCCGCACGCTGAGCACAGGACGCGCACGTCCATCATGTCGTCGGCCCAATCCGCTCTGCGCTACGTGGCTGCCGCCAAGACGTCGTCCCGCGGCACCCTCCACCTCCGTTGCTACGTCAAGCCCGGCGCAGCAAAGGCCCGCGAGGGCGTCACAGGGCTTACGGAGGACGCAATCGAGATATGCGTGGCAGCCCAGCCGCGGCAGGGCGAGGCCAACAAGGCTGTGCTGCGGCTTCTCAGCGAGGCAAGTTCCATCTGAAGCGGCCCAGTCCTTCCAGGTACTTAGCGCAACGTCTGACGCGGGACAGATACTCGGGGTTCCGAGGTCGGACTTTCAGGTTGTCCAGGGTGCGAACAGCCGACACAAGACGGTTGCGCTGAGCGGCGTGGCGGATGGAGAGGAGGGGGTTTGCAGAGTGCTGGACATCCTGCGCCAGGAGGCCGCTGGTTGATGCATGTTGCCGGGACTTGCTGTGTGAGCGGTCCTTCACTGGTCAGCTTCATCTCGAGTGTATGCGCCGGGGTGTCCGTGGCGCGGGGGCTCGACATTGACAGGTGACTGAAGCCAGGAGAAAGGTGCAGGCGCCGCACGAAAGCTGGTCGCTGAAATATCACCTATGTAAGGTACTATGCGGGATACTTCATTGCAATGACCTTCTCGACAAGACGACCCTGGAGCTGGAGACGTTCATCAGCGACATTCCTCCCTATGCCAAACTGTCCCACACATCGGGCGATGATGACTTTCTCTTCGAGCACCTCCAGGGAAGCACACTTTATGCCCAGTCGTTGCACCCTGGACGAGGGATTCGGGAGATGCTCGCCAGCAAGCTCGCGCGCGGACAACCTCTAGGGTACGCATGGACAGACACATGCTGCATCGACAAATCCAGCAGTGCTGAGCTCTCCGAAGCGATCTATTCCATGTACGCCTGGTATCGTGGTTCGGCAGCTTGGTACGCCGGCTCGAGGATGTCACACTCGAGGGGACCAGTTTTGCTGGCCTCGACGAAAGCAGATGGTTTCGACGAGGATGGCCGTTGCAGGAGGTGCTGGCGCCTCACGGACTCACTTTTTGCGACAACAATCGGATTGCTTGACCAGTCGATATGATATGACGTTGTGATACCGCTCATAAAATATCGGCCATGGCTAGAATAAGACACATGTATACGCCGAGAGCACTCCGTCCCAGCAATCGTCAACTTCTATTGCCCAACCGAGGAGCTTTTCTGCCCGCGTGTTGTGTCGGATGTTTCACTGGGTTATCAAGAACGTACAAGTCGCAGCTATCATGTAGCAGGCATCCGGACGCACCACAACCCGAGTGAAGACATGACCTATAGTCTGTTGCGTCTCTTCCAAGTCACTCATGCCTCTGCTCCCCGGCGAAGGCAGAAATGCTTTCCGCAGCTACAGATGAGATCCTCGATTCGGACCCCGACAGTCCATACTGTGATGGAGAGAGGAAAGTACCGACATGCATCGCCCATTTCATAGCTCAATCCCTTCCTGGCATCGGCTCCATCGTGCTTCAGTTTCTATCGCCCACGTACCTACTATCCTTTTGCCACAGCGACGTGCGTAGGACGCCAGACGGGATCGTGCTCGGCGCATTGTTGGGACCTTGCTCCTTGACCTTTGATGGAGGATACTGAGGCCCGAGACTGACCTTGTCATTCTGGCGTGCGCTGTCGAGGCGGATGTGCTGACACGTGTAGGTATTGTTGTAACAATCGACGGCCAACGCAGACTCCACCGCGCGAAAGACTCCCGTCTCGTCATGTGTTCGCTGTCTTGCTCATGATCAAAACTTAATCCAGCATGGTTCAGAGCCCGACGTCCTGTCGTCCTGGTCAACAGGAAGTAGAGGCGCCTTTCGCAGGGCCTTGCCTCAAACTCAAAACCTTGACCCTCCTTTCGATTGTGATGCTGTCTCCTATTTCTCTCGGAATTCCCCTCCTGGTATGAACAGATGAGGAACCTATAAAGCCGATTCCAGACGTAGTCAAGTGCGACATGGCAGACCTGAAACCCTATGAGAAACCTGTCTGCTGCTATATTCGGTATCAACTGCCACTGCTTGATGTAGAGCAGAGTGAAGAGGCCTTCCACACGTAGTCCACAGCAATAGTGTATGGGTTAAGGGTGGGGATACATCTGAACTCTGGCCCTCTGCGGTCCTTATATCAACGTTCTCGTAACCCTTAGCCCCTCATCGGCCCCCCTGTTCGGTGGCTCCGCAGGACCACCTGACATCACAAAAAGGAGATCCGACCCGAGGAGACCACAAGTGAGACTGGATATTCGCGACCTACGTGACTACACCCTACGTGCAGTTCCCGCCGTCCGGCTTACCCTCATCCTGGGCCCGGGAGACGCGAGCCATCCGAGCCGTCCTGGCGCCAAACTGAACAACACGCCTGACGCGACAACGCGTCTGAACCGCACCACCGAACTGGTCTACTTTCACCGGAGCGACGCCCCTGGCTTCTTCCTCTTTGGCAGCAATCTCCTCTCCCGCTCTGGGAAAGCATAGCCAACGGGTCCGTTGTTCGGTCCGGGACTGGCCGTCCGTAATGCCAATGCCTTCCTGCACGGCCGAAGACCTGGCCAGGTTTACATGCGGAGCAAACGGACAGTTGCTATGGCGAGATGGGTGGCCCCTAAAGACAAATCTACGCATCCCTTCTCGTCGAACTGTCCAATATGTGCGATTTCAAATGATAATGGGAGGCGACTCCGCGGGTCTGGTACGCATACAGACACGTCAAGTCGAGTTTGAGGCAACGGGTCTTACATTCCCGAGGTTAGTCGGTGCAGGGCTGACCGTACCTTGGGTTGGCATTTTGTCAATGGATAGTCCCTAAGGTGAGTTGTCGCACTTTCGACATGACGGCTGAGTGAAGTGGCCAGTCAGATTTCGTGCCATTTTGTCAAGAACTAGAAATCCAGCATTCGCAAAACGAACACAGCATGTTAGAGTCATAGAATATAAAAAACGTGCAAAGCCTTCAGTAGCATGATCAATCGCCATCAATGGCCATCTAAAATGTATCAAAACGCCCCTGCACCTACCACCCAATGCAATGCTTTTAGAAGATCAAACAGTCTGCTTTCCAGCACGATCCTGCACACCCCCCGCCTTTTCCCTTTTCACCTCTGCCCTCGCCTTGCGCCTCTCAAGTCGTTCCTGTTCATCTCTCATTTGCCTGATCAACGGGCTCTTTGCGCGAATCCTCTCGCCGTACCTCCAGAACGCCAGCGGCACCGGTATGAGCGCAACCTCGAGCAGCCCCAGCAGCGTCCCTGCCCACTGCGGTGACAGCGTTGTGTACATGGCCGGGCCGGCGAGCGGCAGTACCCCGCCGGCGATGCTGCGAATGACGGCATTGCCGGCGAGAGCCGAGGCGGCGTAGATGCCGTAGGCGCCGGCGAGATAGTTGGATCCGTAGATGAAGGACAGGGTGTTGCCGGCGCCAAAGGGGATGCCAAAGGCGATGGGGATGGCCCAGTGGATCGTGACGGGCAGACAGGTCCAGGAGAAGACGAGCTGACCGAGAGGCGTGAGTATGGCGCCGAGGACCATGATGCGGGCGGCCGACTCGGGCAGGGGACGGCCAGTCGCAGGGTCGTGTCGATGCGCGTTGACAATACGGCGGAGCAGGGGCTCGGCAAAGATGGCCATGAGCGTGCCGATGCCGATGCCGAGGAACGCGAGGCCCGACGTGCCAGGGCCCCAGCCTCGGTGCTCAGAAAAGACGATGGGATAGGCGATGAAGCAGAGGTAGAGAATGGCGTAGATGACAGAGATCCTGCGAGAGTGAGCAAGGGGGTTGACGAAGCATTGGTCGAACCCAGACGTACCAGATGTTGGCAGCCCACAGAATTGGCTCTGTCGCGGCTAGTATAAAAGGGCGGCTCATGTTCGTCTTGATGAGCTCAACCTTGGATACCTTGGCGTCGTACCTGCACCACCAACGAGGATCGTCCGTCTCCTTGCGTAGCTTGGCCGCCTTCCGTTGGAGCAGGGTTGGAGCGTACGTCTCCTTGACGGTCAACATCATGACGATGCTGACACCTGCGACGATGAGCACGAGCCAATTACACCACCTCCATCCAAGATACTGAAAGACAAAACCGCCGATGATAGGTCCAGTCACTGGTCCATTGAGAGGCGCAATAGACCATAGCGACATGTACTTGGCACGGCGATCCTCGGTGGAAATGTCGACAATAGTGCCGGGGCTATTGGAGATCAAAGCAGCACCAAACATGGCTCTAGGAGAAGGTCAGACTTATTCTGTGACGGGAATGGCTGGCACTAGATATATTGACTGACCCAACGAATCTGCAGGCAAACATTTGTTCCAGGGATGTCGCGAGAGCACAGGGAATGATCATGATTGTTGACAAGACCATGCACACAATATAGATCTTGCGACGGCCGTAGAGCTCGCTCAGCGGAGCAACAACGAGGCTTCCTGTCGCGAGACCAAGAAGGTACGTGGTGACTCCCAATGCCGTGTACGATTTGGAGGCGTTGTATTCCTCCATGAGACCCGGGATCGAGGCGGTGTAACTGGTACTGTACAGGACCACGATCCAACACGAGATGGAGACGACAAACATGACCCAGGCACGATACCACTTGGACCAATTCCTCGGATTGTCGGGGTCGTCTGCAGTGAATTCGACCTCGAAATCAGGTGGCCGAGAGGCCGTGCTGGCTTCTGTTCGAACGCGTGACAGTGGCTCACCCGCGCCAGGCGCCTCGTCGATTTCGTAGTCGGTGTCGCGGCGCAGGGCCTTCTCCAAGACATCGTGTGACGAGTCGGACTCGTCGCATGGATGTCCAGATGCTCGCTCGGTGCCTGACCTGGTCTTGTCGTTGTTGCTGTGCAGGGATGGGGTTGATGACCTCCAGTCGCCTCCGGCTCCGGCGCCCTTTTCCGGGTCGGGCGAGGAGGAAGCCATGCTGTCTCAAATCGGGCGAGCACAGGGTCCGGCACGCGACAAGGTGGGCTCAATCTCACGAAGCGGATCGAAGCGAGCCGAGACACTAGGGGACCAATTTGACAGGCGACAAACAGCAAGCGCCGAACATCGGGGCCGTGGGAGCGCAGAAGACGAGAGGAACAAGATGATGAGTGAAACGATGCGGCACTCGAGAAGCGGCGAAAGCGAAGCAGAAGTCATTTGTAATGGAGTCTATGGGCCCCACACCCCACAAAGGTGCAGCGGAGGCTTTGGGTAGGCGAAGATGCAAAGAAGAAGCGGCGAACGTGGTTGGCATCCATCGGTCCCTCTGGGCAAGGCGTGCCAGGGTCTGAGGAGGGTGGGGGTCGGTTCGGGAATAGCGGCGGATGTTGAAGGCCTGAGGGCATGCTCACTAACAAGGTTAGGTGCGGATAGAGGTCAAGGGGCGTCAAGGGCGTCTGCAGCTGCAATGTTAGCTCTGACGATCGGTAGCGTGCTAGGCAAAGACGTGATGCTCTCTTGGCGTTGATCACCTACCTCTAGGCCAACCGACGAGATGCTTTGGCGGGGCCAGCCGAGGTACTTGACATGGCAGGCAACGGACACGGCCTTGACGGCCGGTGAGAGAGGGGTTTCACGACTTTTTCTCCTTGCTCCTCTCCTAGTGACAGGATTGCCGACGTAGAGAGCGTGCTAGCAGCGGCAGCAGTACATGTATGCGGCAGGCCAGCGAGAATGGGTTTAGCGGTGATAGGATCCCCGCAGTGTGCTGTACATGGTAGGCACCTGTCGGATCCGATTTGCGGACGAGAACGGAGATGACTCGGATGCTGTCATTGAACTGGGCTGGGTTTTCGAAGATCAGGCCTATGGCCAGGCTGAGTACACGCTAGACGTTGGCCGACGACGTATCTCGATGTCTTCCTTTGTACACCGATGATACTCCAGGGTAGTACTGGCCATGGACGACAGGGAAGTTAAGGTTGACAGTCTGCACGAAGGCAGCAGCAGGACAACAGGAGTAGAGAATTCACCCCGAGCGATGCATTACCTAAGCAGGATCATGAGGCCCGCCTCGATAACCAGACTCCACCCAGATAGCTGAAAAATAGCAAGGGCACCACCAGCACCACCAGCACCACCAGCACCAGCAGCACCACCAGCAACAGCAACGCCAGGAAGCAGCACGATGCACTCCGATCGACGACGGCGATCCATGACCACGACCCGTGCCGAGCTCATCTCCCATTGACGCCTCAACCCGACGAGGCGCGACGACACCATCGGCGAATCATCAGAAAACGACACACAGGGACCTTGTTGCAACATCATTGATGTTCACTGTGCTCCACAAACACTTGACTGCTCGCGCCCTCCTCTCGTCAACCCTCCGCCCGCCTCGGGTCTTTACCTCTCAGGTCTCTACCTTGCCCATCAGCTCCCACGGCCACGCCCACGCCAACACAAACACCCGTCGCAGCCAGCGCCGGCCACCGCTATCTCCGACCATGGCATCAGCGTATGCCGCTTTCTCTAAAGGCGGCTACTCTCAGCAAACTGCTCCGCCAACACCCTCTCCCACCGTCACAGCTCTCAACAGATGGAGCATCTTGACCAACACACAACTCCCAGGTCCGTCACAACCTGACCAAACTCCCTGCTAAGCTCTCTGGGCCCTGAATCTGACCAGCTTCTCAGCCGTCGACACAATCAAGGCGTTACACGTCTATGATTTTGACAACACCCGTAAGCAGTAGCCCTTCTCCCTCACGAGTCGATGCCTGCCTGCCTTCTGCTACGTCATACTCAAACATGTTCGCCATAGTCTTCAAAACCCCCCTTCCGAACCCCGCCCTCTGGGTAGGCACCACAATCGGCACCCTCAGCAGCCAGGACACACTGATCAACGGTGGCTGGTGGCACGACTCCCGCATCCTCGCCGCCACGGGCGAGGGCGCCGACGCCGAGGAGAAGCGCGCGTGGGACGGCTGGTGGAACGAAAAGATTGTCGAGCTCATCACCCTGAGCACCAAGCAAAAGGACGCATTGTGCGTCTTGCTCACCGGCCGCTCCGAGCGCGGCTTCTCCGACCTCATCAAGCGCATGATCAAGAGCAAGGGCCTCGAGTTCGACATGATCGGCCTCAAGCCCGCCGTCAGCCCCACGAACCAGCACTTCAAGAGCACCATGCACTTCAAGCAGCTCTTCCTCGAGGCCATGATGGAGACGTACAAGAACGCCGAGGAGATTCGCATCTACGAGGACCGTCCCAAGCACGTCAAGGGCTTCCGCGACTTCATGGCCGACTACAACCGCCGCCAGAACGGTCCCACGCCGCACCTGCGCACCCGCGGCCCCATCAGCGCCGAGGTCGTCCAGGTCGCCGACATGACGACGACCCTCGACCCCGTCGCTGAGGTCGCTGAGGTTCAGCACATGATCAATCTGCACAACGAAGCCGTCGCCAGACCTCAGCAGCAAGCACAACCGCCGCACATGCGTCCCAAGCGCCTCGTCATCAAAAAGACCGTCTTCTTCACCGGCTACATGCTCGACAAGCAGGACACGACCGAGCTCATCAAAATGGCCAAGGCCCAGATCCCCGCCGGTCTGCCTGACCACGAGCTCAAGTTCCACGCCAACAACATTCTCATCTGCCCCCGCCCCTGCCCGGCCTCCATCCTCGATAAGGTCGGCGGCATGGGCGCCAAGATGAAGTGGGAAGTCACCGGCACCGCCTGCTACGAGAACTCCATCTGGGCCGCCTGCCTGCGCCCGCTGCCCCCCAACGCCAAGTTCCACACCGACAACCCCTCGCCCCTGGTCGTTCTCGCGCTGCGCAAGGGCGCACGCCCTGTCGACGCTGGCAAGATCCAGAACTGGCAGCCCGTCTCCGCCGACCGCGCTCTCAGCTTTGAGACGACGGTGGGCGAGAAGGTCATTCTGCGCATCGAGGCCGAGGACCCTCGCGAGGACGAGTACGAGTCGCTGTTCGCCAACAAGGGCGCCAAGAGGAAGCACGCCGGCGACGAGGTCGGCGCACAACACAACCACGGCGGCCAGGGCGGACCGAACCACCGTGGCGGCCGCAACGAGCGGCGCGACTTCCACTCGGGCGGCCGCGGCGGGCGAGGCGGCAACAACAACAATCATAACAATAACTTCCGCGGCGGCGGGCGCGGCGGACGTAACGGCGGCCAGCGAGGCAACGGCAAGGGCGGTCGAGGGGGACGCGGCGGCGGCGGCGGCGGCGGACACGGCTACCGTAGTCTGGATGACGTGGAGCCTCGCAACCAGCAGGGCGGGTATGGAACGACGGTGGAGTACGACGAGCCGACTACGAGTCCCGGCTTCCAGCAGGGCCGGGCGGGAGGCGCGCCCTACAATGGCGGCAACAACGCTGACCTGCAGAACTACTACTAGCGCATCGTTTTGTGTAGTAGGGTCCCGAAGAGCTGAATGGCCGAGGAGGGGTAATTGGTGACAATAACCTGCAGACGGTCACTCTGCACCAGAAAGGAGGGTTTCGGGCCTTTCGAGTGGACCACCTTTGCAGTCGCGAGGCTCACGTTTCAGTGCGCGGACACGGCGTTTTGTATCTCTTTTGCTTTCTTCGAGCAGCAACGGCGTCAGGGGCAACGGAAAGGGGGAAAGGAGGGGACAGGAACAGACATGATGTTCCTCAAGGTCATACCCAAGATCACCATAGGTAGCCCGCAGCGGGCCGTGTCAAATGAACCATTTCGTCTTTTCATTCGGCTGCATTTATATGCATGTGTATAAACATGAGCCATGCCATTGATCTGGAAACACGTCTAGACGATGCCCTCAAAATGCAGTCTCTTGGTCGTGAGGCCGTGACAGAGATCCTACTCGTCGTCACTGTCATCCTCGTCATCGTCGTCGTCATCCTCCTCCTCGGCGTTCTCGAGCCACTCGACGAGAACCCTACACCTCTCGCGCACGGCAGCCATGGCCTCGCCGGCCGCAGCCCTCTCGTCGCCCCACCACGCGACAATGGCCTCCTCCTCGAGGACGTCGAGGCCGTAGAGCCGCTGCAGCAGCGCCGCGAGCACGGTGCCGGCGCGGGCGGCCTCGAGGGCGCGCACGCCGACGAGGGCCCTCTGCAGCGCGAGGACAAAGTCGCGCTGCTCGGGCTCGCCGCCGCCGACGCCGACCTCGCGGATGAAGGACGGGGCGCCGCTGCGGGCGGCGAGGGCGGCGTCGGCGGATCTTGATGGGCTCGAGGACGCCGTGAGCGATAAGAACAAAAATAGGCGGGGCGATTCGCAAGATTCCTACCAGGGCTCTTGCGGAACAGAAAGTCTGAGACGTGATAGATTCCGTGGAGGCAAAGAAAATCAAACTTTGCCGAGGCAAGTCCGCGACGCTGTCCTTCGCACTGTGA